GAGTTAAGGATAATTGTTAGCTGCCACATGGGTGCTGGGAACTGAACCTGGGTCCTCTGCAAGAGCATTCAGTGCTCTTAACCACTGAGCCATCTCTCCAGCCCAAAGGTATTATTTAATTTTCAACAGACCCATGAGAGAAGTAGAAGTTCCGTAGCCCATTTTATAGACAACCCAGAACAAAGGTGCTGTCAACATATCCAAGGTCACATAGATCACATGTGGGAGACTTAGGAATGAAGTAGGTCAACCCCAAGGCTGTTTGTTGAACTACTGTGCATGACAGATAGTGAGTGCCTTTTCAATAATTGTTGAGAGATTAAGTGAATGAACCCATGAGCAGAATCAAATTTAAACAAAATACAGAGTTTGGACAAGGTGAATTAGAGAGGTAGTTCAAAAAAGACTTCAGGCTAATTATCTGTGACCTGAACTAAACAAGTTATTTCCTTGGTTTCACTGTCTCATTGAAAAAAAAAAGTTAGGATTATTTTGGATGCCACCAAGGATGAGATGAAGTATATGTGGAGAGGAGACTACATGCAGTGTGATTTGTGGGGGCCTCTCACAGAGTCTGCAGCATATTGAATACTTACCAGGTGATGTGTAGGCTTGCTGACTTGGCTTGTGGCAAGAATGAAATGGGGGAGAGATAAGTTTTTGTTGAAAGGCTGAGAGGCAAGATGCTGAGGTGGAATTTAGGAGGAAAGCTTTAACTCAAGATGCTGTCCATCTTTGTCACTAAGTCTCCTGTTTGGGGGGAATGATGGTCTGAGTTTTCAAGTGTTGAGAGAACTTCATTGGAGATGGCTTTTAAGTTGTCTGAAAACAACTTTTTATTTCTAGTATTCCTAATAATTCTGTAGTTTACACACACTTAGACATATTCTCTCTCTTGTTTTGAAGATTTATTTTTTGTTTATGGGTATATGTGTGTACCTATTTGTATAGGTGTCTTCCTGGCACCACAGGATGGGTGGCAGGGGACCTGGAGTTTAGGTCAAGGGCAAACCACAGGGCAGGATTCCTCAGTGTTGGTTGTCTCTGTGCATAGGACGTATGAATGAGAAGTCTCACAGTGGTTTGTTGGGTCCATGTCATCTTGGTTGTTGTCCTTGTCATCATCAGGAGCATCGGGTGCCAGCCTCCCAAGCTGCCATCGGTTTCACCCAGGTGAGTTTTGGGTACCACTGCACCACCTGGTTGGTGGTGTGGTTTTGCAGAAGGCTGGCCTCAGGTGGCCGGGGCTGGAGGATGTTGTCCGGATGCACAGGGGGCCCTGACTCTGCATGATGGGATTGGAGGGTGGCTGCAGGGAGTCCAGGGCTGGGGAAGTCAAGATGGGGTCTGGGTGGGAATGAGTCTGGGTGCTGCCCACACACCCAGGAGGGTGAGCTCTAGCCTGGCTGTCCTTCAATTGTGGGCCCGGACACCTCCAGGGGCCGTGGTGTGATCCTGGCTCCCTGGACCACATCAACTGGCCTGGGACAGGGTTGGTGCATGTTGGGCACAGTCCACACTAAACTGCCTCTTCTCACCTTGCCAGGCTTCTCCTTCATCCATCGGAGGTGGGGAGAACTGGGTATCCTGCACAATCTCATGTGGGGCTCCCATCTGGTAGAGTGGTGCCATTGGGAGCTGGGGGTCAGAAGGTAGGTGGAAAATGGGCCCCAAGGCAGTAGGGTCCAGTCTGGTGTCTGGCTAGGGACTGTGGTGCCAGGAGGTGGCATGCAGGTGTTTGGGCCTCCATGGAGAGGGCTCTTTCTCTTCTTGGGTGGGCCCAGGCTCCTTTTCCAGGTTCCCGGGCCCTCTTCTCTCTCTTCTTTCATTTTCTTGTCTTTTTTATTTCTTTCCTATTTTTTTGTCCTTTTTTCTTCCTGCCCCTCACCTGCCCCTGGGTCTGGGATGAGCCCGGGCTGATTGCTGCTCCTCATAGGGCCCAGGCTCCTTTCTTTGTCATTCAGCCTGGGACCCTGTGGACTGATGCTTATCCCAGGCTCAGTTCTGTTGAGGGACTTGCTTGTAGTCAGGGATGGCCCCTGGCTGTTTTCACTGCTTTGTGGGGCCCAGGCTCTGTCTACTAACTTTTTGCCCGGGCCCCATTCTGTCAACGTTCAGCCTGGGCTCCATGGGGAAAATGGCTGCCCAGGGCTCCTGTGTCTTCCTGGGTGGGCCCAGGCTCCTATCTTGAAGGATTTTGCCTGGGTCTTTTGGGTTTTGTGGCAGGGCTACTTTGTCCCTTTTAATTCTTTCAGAGGCTGGTGTCATCAGGACAGGGATGAGGCCTGGGCTCCTTGCTACCCCTGTAGGGCCCAGGCTTCTCCCTTTTGACTTTTCAGCCTGGGCCCTCTTGGTCCAGTGATGGGGAGCCTGGGCTTGGTTCCCTGGACAGAACTGTCGGCTTGAGGTCAGGGATGGGCCCAGGCTGTTTGTTCCAGTTTGTAGGGCCCAGGCTTCTATCTTCTAGCTCTTTGCCTGCCTCGGCCCAATTGTGTCCACTCTCGGCCCAGGCTCCATGGTCTTAGCCAGGTCTGCTTGGGGAAATTGTCATCTGGGGCTGGCTGCTGTGTGATCCTGGGTGGGCCCAGGCTCCTCTTTTGGGGGCTTTTGTCCGGGCCCTTTGTGTTTTTCCTGGGCATCTTTGTCCTTCCTTTTTTTCACAGGCTGCTGTCAGGTCAGGAATGAGCCCAGGCTGTTTGCCCCTCTTTTTGTAGGGCCCAGACTTCTCCCTTTGGACTTTTCAGCCAGGGCCTTTGGTCCACTCTGGGTAGCCCAGGCTCTGTCTGTTAATGGGACTGGCCTGTGGTCGTGGATGGGCCCAGGCCATTTTCTCTGCTCTGCCGGTCCCAGACTTCTGTCTTCTAACTTTTGGTCTGGGCCCTGTTCTGTGGTGCTCGGCCTGGTCTCTTCGGCCCTGCTTGGCTGGGGCTTCATGGGGGAAATCTTTGCCCGGGGCTCCTGGGTGTCTTTGTTGGTGGGCCTGGGCTCCTGTCTTGGGGGATTTTTACCTAGGCTCTTTGCATTGTTCAGCCTGAGCATCTCTGTCTTTGTGTTCGTCTGTTCTTTCTCTGTCCTTCCCTGGCTGCCATTGCATCATGGATCACCCAGGGCTTTCGTTTGCACCTCTCTGGAGGGCCCAGGCAGGCTTCTCCCTCTGGTGTCTTCAGCCTGGGCCCTATGCGATCATGGGTGCTGGAGCAGGGCCCTTTTCCTTTGTCTGTACTCTTGGGTTGGAGATGCTCCTGGCCTGCTTGCTCCTCTTTGCCAGGCCCAGCCTTCTTTGTCCGATATCTTGCCCAGGCCCTGTCCCATCTAAGCTGAGCCTGGCAGGCTCCACCCTGTCACCCAGACTGCTGGACCTCAGGACCTGGCCCAGCATCTGGTGGGCACGTGTGTGGTGGGGGGAGGGGGCAGTGACGCTGCTGTTTCCTGCCTCACCAGGCTACCAGTTCCTCCAGAGGAGGTCCAGAAATTTCGCTGTCTGTCCTGGTGGATGGGCCTGTGGCGTACCACAGGATGGGTGGTGGGGGACCTGGAGTTCAGGTCAAGGGCAAGCCACAGGGCAGGACCCCTCAGTGTCAGTTGTCTCCATGCATAGGACGCGTGAATGAGAAGTCTCGCAGTGGTTTGTTGGGTCCATGTCGTCGTTTTTGTCGTCCTCATCGTCGTCAGTAGTGTTGGGTGCCAGCATCGCAAGCCTCCAACAGTTTCACCCAGGTGAGTGTCGGGTACCACCATGCCACCTAGGTGGTAGCATAGTTTTGCAGAAGGGCCGGCATAGGGTGGCTGGGGCTGGGGGACGTCCGGATGCAGAGTGGGCTCTGACTTCCCTGTGGTGGGGTCCGAGAGTGGGTGCAGGGAGTCCAGGGCCGGGGAACTCAAGATGGGGCCTTTGGGGTGATTGAGCACAGGTGTGGCCCACACGCCTGGGATGGTGAGCTGTAGCCTGGCTGTCTTTCCTTCTGTGTTGGGCCCAGACACCAACAAGGGCCATGATGTGATCATGGCTGTGTCGATCTAAGGAAGAGGCCTGTTTCTGGGGAGAAGGACTGGGGGGTGTGTTGGGGCTTGGGGGGGAGTGTGGAGGGAACAGGGTGTGGCCCACTAACCCAGGATATTAAGCTCTATGCAGCTTGTCTGTCCTTCATTGTAGCCCCAGTGTGGCTGCCACAGAGGCCCATGGTGTAATCAATCCTGGCTCCATGCATCTCCAGACTTTTGGCTGCATGGGGTATAGGCAGGCTGAGACCCACACACCCTGTTCTTGGATCCATGTCTGTAGGGTTATATTGAAGACTTTATTTTCCACCCTGTCCCTTTACCATAATTAAACCCCAAAGTTGAGTTGTTTTGTGTCCCCTAGAAAATGGATAGTAGATGATGAATATATAGATCGATAGATAGTGGATGATGAATAGGTAGATTTATAGATAGGTAATAGATAGCCCAATGATGTATCATAGATAGATAGATGATAGAGAGGGAGGTAGGTACGTGATAGAGTGAATAAAGGTTTCGTGATAGAATGTCTTAGGCAGACAGAGTCAAAAGCAGAGCTTCATCCATGGTCACACAGATCCTCCTCACCCTTTCTCCCTAGGATCTGGGATCTTCTCCCGGTTTCTCTGAATGACTGTCCCCTGTGCAGCCATCCCTCAGGTCCCTGCCATTTCCACCTCTTCTTACAATGACAGCTGCCATGTAATTAGATCAGGGATACCTCAAGGACCACATTGTTTCCTCTGTTACCCCCCAATAAGGTCCCTGTCTCCAACTACATCACACTAGTGGTCAATCAGGTCTTTAGTACAAGAATATGGAGTACAGTACAGTCCTTACCACCAACCAAGTATCCTTTCCCACCTCAGTGGTGCCTCTACTGCCCTCTGCCCAAGGCCATTCCATTACCATAGCAGCAATGACCCCTTCTATGATCTGCTGCCCTGTGCTCAAGGCCATTCAGTTACCATAGCAATGACCCTTTCTATGAAGTCCCAGAACTCTGACCTCCCTGCATCTG